CAGTTCCAGGAGATATTGGATTACCGGTAACAGATCTAAAAAAAATTCCCCTTCCTTGGCACTGGTAAGGAACCTATCTGGCAAAAGCATACGGGCCCTCGGCTATGGTATTGGCCCCTTTGGAACTCGACGTACAGACCGGGGCCTTTACACAAGTCTATTTTCCTTGGTAGCTCCTAGATTGGGCTTGCTGGCCCTACGTTCTATTAAAGGCCTAGTTTAAATTTTTCACTTTTTCTGTCTCCCCCTAGACTTTTTAGAATAGGTCTGGAGGGGGGGTAGTTGCCACAGATAAAGGGGGCTGTAGGTACACCAAGCATTGGGGGGGCTGTAGGTACACCAAGCATCGATATGTAATAGTAGCCCGGTGTAAATAAACATACAGGATCCTGTGTTACATAGACACAATGGGGCCTCTGCTGCAGCAGGGCCTGGAGTTGGCATGTTGTGTCCATCACCCTGGCAGTGCTAGGCTGCTGTCATATTTTTTCCTATGTGTGCCAGTGTCTGTCATAGGGACATATGGCCCTCTCTGCTATAGACCAGGGGTAGGTAACCTCAGCACTCCAGCTGCTATGGAACTACAAGTCCCATGATGCATTGCAGGATGCTGACAGCCATAATGGGTTTAGTTTACCACCGCTTCTTTTTAGTGCTGAGGCTGCCTACCCCTGGTATAGCCATTACGTGGCGCTGGCGTGTTGTGTGCCAGTAAGGATACATTGCTATAAGTGAAATTTTTTTTCCCCTATGGCAGTGTTTAGGGTGAAGGGCATACAGGAGACAAAGGGACGGTGCCTCTTTGATACAGCAGCACATAAAGACAATGGCTCTGTAGTCTGCCTGCAGTGATTATTAGGACACAGTACCGCAGTCTGTATGACGCAGCAATTCCTGGGATATACCAAGCTACAGTCTGAAAGGGGACATCCTGCCGCCTCTAATGGGGGTTCCTTGCTGCAGTCTGGGTACCGTTTAGTACAGAGATATTAAGGGTGATGTTACCTCGGCTCTGTGATTCATAGAGGGCACAGTGCTGTAGTCTGTCTCTGCACTGTGATAAATTCTGGGGTAGCTGGACTTTTCCTGCGTTCATGAACACGATTTAGAAAAGAATGGCTGCTTCACTGATGCAATAGGCACATTGCCCTTACTGAGAAAATGGGGGACCTTTTATGAGACCGGCTGAGAAGGAATCCTGGGGTCCGGCTGAGCCTGTGTGAGAAGAAAGCTCGGGGCCTGGCTGACCTAGTTAATAGGGTGGTGCTGAGTCCTCCTTGTGGTGTCCCTCTTTGTACTCTGTCACGAAGCTGAACACCTGCGATCAGGCTGTGATGTAAGCAGCTGTTCCCAGACTGGGTGCCACATATTAGTTCCAGAGCAGTGACTCAGTCCTTAGGTTTGGCCTCTCTGACCTAGAATGATTATGACTCGTATGTTTTTACTGCTGCTACCGGAGCCTTGTCACACTGAATGTTCTGGAGTGTTTCTTTAGGAACCTGATGGATTCCTCTGAACTAGTGTGTCTTTCGGAATTTGCTCTGGTTGTGCAGAGGCCGCACAGCTGTTTTCTGCCAGCCATGGGACTGATTGGTGGGGGAGTTGCATAATCTGGCAAAGGGACAAGTTCCTGTGCAGTGAGTTGCACAATGAACCTTACCCTGATGTCTGTAATCCTAATGCAGCAACTGTTCCCAATCGGAGCTCTGCCCGCTGTATGTTGGTGCTCTGATCTGAGGGTGCGCAACATCTTTTACCTGTATTACACACTGCCCTGTTTCTCTTATATATATATATATATATATATGAGAGAGAGAGACTTTAGGGTTGCAGTTTTG